CATATAAACTGTTTAGGGCTAGATGGAACAGAACTGGAAAGTCAAGATGCAATAATTCTAGCCAGGCGGAATGCAGCATAAGTACAGACATTTATGCACATAAACGATCATGCATGCAAAGTGCAAACACACTTCATGTATGTATCCACATGTCGGTATTTACTTGCTGATATTAATAAGGCTGAGAATTCGAATGTGAAATGACAATCTCTGTGTTGATAGACAGAGTTCATAAAACCCCAGAAATTAATGACATTTACCATCTAAGCTGATGCATGTACCATTGGATACATCCTATTCACAAAGGAACTGTTTAGAATTGTTTTCTCATCACGAAGATAAAGCTTTGTTGCCATTATCTGTTGAAGCCAAAAGAGTCAAGTACTCATTTATGGCTTCACCTTCTTTCGTAATTTCAATGTCATAGTCTGATAAAGCATCTGCAACTTCTATTTCTTTTGCAAGTTCATCTTCCATCTCCACATCCCGCTCTTCCTCTCCAGCAGTTGACGGACCTTCATCAGTATCATTGTTGGTCAAACTATCAGGGTTCACATTGTTCGGCTCTGAAGCAAGATTTCCATTGCTGTTAGCATCAACAGTGGGGAGTTGTTCAGTTTCAGACAGCAGTCTACTAATAGTTTGCTCCATTGTTTCACCGTCCTGAACAGCAGCAACCACTGAACCCAGGAAAAGTGTCAGAATGCTAATCCATGTTAAGTTCATAAGGATAAATGAACAGTTTTGGAGATGCTTTTATCAAATTCGCATACTCTTGTGCACTAAAAAGTTCTCATTATATATATATATATATTTTATCACAACACACTAACATCCATGAGTTTTGGCAGTGTGGAACTTTATTTTGAGTACAGTTTCCAGTAAACTGAACAGATTGCAACTGTCTTTACCATATGAAAGATGTAATGTCTGTTATAAGAATTTTTAGTTTGCTCCAATCATTCTTTTTGAGCGCTAACTATTTGTTACTCAAAAGTTCTCCCTCCCAATATGAATTATTAGAATGTTAAAACAGTTTGCAGGTACTATTCAGAAGATATTTTATGAGCCAATTCATTATATGATTTTTCAAAAAAGAGCTGCTTTCCTAATTGTTGAGAATGATAACAAAAACACCTTTTTTTAATCTTGCTTGTATCATTGCTCCTTTTTCTTGCTTTGACCATTAGGAAGCTTCGTAGAGTCTAATGTGAGAGCTTACATCGCACGAATTTAAAATTTGTTTCTAATTTTAGAATTGTTATGAGACATTAAAAATTATTTTTGATTGAAAATTAAAATTTGCTCATAATAATACTTCAATTTGTAGAATTCCCTCCACACCCCTCCTCCCCCCAACACATAATATATGCTGGTTACAAAAATATCTCTGACAATAGTGGAGTCTATATGATAGAAAAAATAATTATAAAAATCCAGTACAGCAGTTTGGAGCAGTTTCCTCTTACCTCTTGATCTGTCAAATCCCATGGATACAAGCTCTTCAATTCTAGCATCGGCAGTTTGTTGCTTTCTTTTCCTTTTCCTTGATTCAATATCAAGCTGCATACCAAACATAAGAAGTGATAGCCAATAAAATTGAAAATAAGGAAAGTTTCTTGCAAAAGGCAGCCAACCTGTATTGCAGAATTAGTCGCTGGACTTGTTAAATCATCTAACGCCTTCTGAAAGTCATTCTCATTCCTCCGAAGGGCTTCTGCAGCAAGATTCTTTTCAAATCTGCCAAATCAAGAAAGTCCTAGCTTTCAGGAGAAAAGCTTTTGCTATGCATTGATAGTTATGGATGGTACAATAGAAGCTTCAAAATAACACATTGTCCTTGTTTTCATTTTACTTTCATGACCATGAAGCTATGATTGGAAAACTCTGCACTTTCAACCCAAACTTCCAGCCCACAAGCATACACCAAGATTATAGTTACCATATCATATTAATATGAAAATTAAAGAAAGGCAAACAAGAAGTTGGGATTGCCCTTCTCACCCAATGGCGACTAATTCTTTCAATTTCTCAAGATTCACAGCCTTCTTCAATGGTGTCACTCCATATTGTTTTTGCTCCCTGAAAATTTGTTGGGTTGTTTATTTGTATATAAAGGGAATATGCCAGTTATAAATGAAACTTATGTTAAGTATATTTACACCCACATGATATCCATTCTATGCCGGATATCATCCTCCCGCTTTTGTGCTCTCTTTGCCTTTTCAGCAAAAAGAAAATCAACAGCACTCCCAATATCTTGATTGTTCAATCGCAATGCCTTCCTTGCATCATGTTCCTTGAAGCCCATGCTCATAACATGAGATAAGGCTTCATCAGGCACTTGTAACTGAAATCAGCAGCCAAAAATTGGGCTTAATGTTGGGTAAGGATGTAAAGCCATAATGTTAATTAAGGTGGCAAAAACAAAAGAAATGGCAAGGAAAAAAAGGGAACTGAAAGAGGCAGAAGGAAGCAATAGATGAGCAGCAATAAATTTGGGATAACCACAAATAATTGCTGATAAATTTTACCAGTTAATAATATCTGAATGTATTTTAACCTTTTTAAACTACTGATATATGTTATTTCTGTTATATTTAACCAATATCTTTCAGTAAATAAACGTTGCAATAATACAGCAAAGTAATTGCAAAACCAGTCTACTAATTCTTCATCTGTGAGATATGTCATTAGGTACTCCATATTGTTTTCCCATTGAAGGCAAATCTAAACCTGTGCTCAAGAGGATGCTGTCCACACGCTGATAAGGGTATCTATATAGGATATTGAGAAGAAAGGAGCAGTGGTGGTCTCCCTGGACTGACCAGATCAACTCCACAAAAAAAAAAAAAAAGTGGCAAATTCTCCCCTTTCTTTACATTAGAAGAAAGATGGAACAACTGGAACCAGATATCTGAAAAGAGTAGCTGCTTTGGATTATAATTAAACTAACCTGTGAGAATTTTGCTTGTGCAGAGGTCAATGCCTTCCTAGATTCATCAAACCGACCATTATGATATGCCACTACCCCTGCCAACAACTCCAATCTCATATGTCTACAAAGAAAAGCATGCAAAAGAGATTAGGTTCACATTGCAACTAACAGCATTTTGACTAATGGCCAGAAATGTAGAAATTGAGTCTCTGAAACAATTTTTTGAGATACTGACAGTGCAAGCTCTGGATGGCAACCAGCTTGAAGGAGTCTAACACGGGAGAGATCCTTTCCATGACAACGTTCAAGCCCTTCTCTGGCTTTTTCAATACGTATTCCTGCAACTGAAAGCCAACTGATATCTCGAAGCAAGAAATAGCACCAAACCATGTCTATTTGCAGCATTGGTACATTGTCAACAAGCTGCAAGCAAACACATACAGCCAAATGTGTAGGATATTAAGAAAACATTCTTGACAAATACAGTCTAAGCCAGAGAAAATTTTATGGCAGAGATGAAATAGATCTTTCACTTTAAATCCAATTAACATGCAAGCAATTATTCAATACCCAATGCATGTTTAAAATTTTGAAAAGATTACCTAAAAGCAACCTTTAGTTATTTCCAAAAAATATAAACCGAACAACAGCATGGCTTAGAAGTTATTCTGAAAATGAATCTTCTTTAATTCTAAGAAAGAATGTCTCACCTCGAGGACCTTGGGATCACAAAGAGAGAAGGCCTCCTACAAGAAAGAAACAAGGCACTTAATTTAATTAGTTCTCAAACTCACCGGAAAAACATTTTACTGTATAACCTTATTATCAGCTTTGCTGACAAGAAATGTTCAATGAAAGCTATTCCAACAATCTGGTTGCAAGCAAGAAAAAAATTAAAAAAACTAGAGCGCTGAAGCAAATGTTGGAGGATGCTAGCAACTGACCTCCCCCATGGTGAGAACTTCCAGTGCCTCTTTATACAGTTGTCTCCTAATTAGATTCTTTGCATTTGCATGAAGCATCAGACCCATCATCACTGCCCTATTTAAAGACAATTCAAATCTTATTCTTGTTGTAAAAACGAGGCCAAAGGTTTAAAGCATAAAAATAAATTCCATACCGCTGATCAGTCTCAGTTCCTAATTGTACTTTTTGCCCTCCCTGATCTTCAAGTTCAATATTAAAGTCTTCAATTGGCAACGAGCCATCTACATGCCTCTTGGAAAGTGCAGTGGCAGCCGCCCTGTCAATAGAGATAGCTATGAGTTAGTAACAGTTGAATTTGCACAACAATATGCAATGGTACAGGAAAAATACACAGAAATGAATTTTTTTCCCAGCCTACCAAATCCTGAAAAGACGATCACTTCAGAATGCAGGAAAACTATAAAATAGTCACATCTAGTAGAAAAATCCTCTATCATTTTGACAAACTTGCCAAGCTGATCTTTGTACTATTTTCAAAGGTAAGTCCTTGGTTCATGTGAAAAGTTCGAAGAGTGGAAGAGACATTTTTGAAGGTATTTCCCCCTCTTCAAATAACAACACTGATATTTGCAGTTAAGACAATCGATTCTCCAATTAGACACTTTATATCATCTCAACTTCGGGTAAACCGTAAAGGACTAACATCTCTCTACACGGAAACATAGTAGCATATCATTATCAATTCAATCATAGACTTCAGACTACATTACACCACTTTGATTTTAAGACATGAAACATTGTATCAATTCCATAAAAAATAAGAAAAAAGTAACATCAAAATACCTCGTGGAATTAACTACGCTGAAAACAAAAGAGGAAAAAAGAGAATTCCATCTCTTTATGTACAAACCCAAAACAGTCACAATTCAATTATAATATACAAGCCAAGAAAACATAAGGAGAAATAACCCGTAAATATTCCATGAACACAATTCCCCTTTTGGCATATTTGATCGACAAGCCGAATACCAAAAATACATGAAAATCATCATAAATATCAAAACTTTTTTTCATATAACAATAAATTTGCCAACTTTGATTAAACCCAGAATTCCAATAAAACCAAAAACCCAATAAGCAGTCAATTACTTTTCTATTAAATTCAATACTAATTAATCATTAAAAGAAACGGGGAGAGAAAGAGAGTTGACGAAAGACTCACTTGACTCGAGCAAGTCTGCGAGAGCGTTCTTCCTCGGCCATCAACTCATGTTTCAAAGACTTGCCTTCATCAACAGAGACACGACTGGCCAAAATCTTAGCGGTGTTTTTGATACCCAATTGGCTTAACTTTTCAGTGCCATCACCATCTTTCAATACTTTCCCAGCACATATAAGGTTGATAGAGTCAGGGCCGTCCACGTTTGATCGCTTGGCTACCTCTTCCCTCAACATGGCCACCGTCCAATTCTCCAATTCTAACTCTATCACTCCAGCCCATGTCCCTCCGATCCTTACTTTCGCCATGGCAGCAAAGATGTTCTTCTTTTCTTTTCGCTCGAGAGTCAAAAAAATGGGGGATCAAAATGGTGTCGTGTATATTTATAGGTTGAGGGAAAAAAAAACAGGGTTACTTCGGGAGCAAGGTTATGTTGTTTTATTGGGGCTATTACTTTGTTTTGTTCAATGTCATAGTGCGATTGCGAGCCCCTGCTTTTAACTTTCTCTAATAAAAAAAAAAAACATTTGGAGTAATTAAAATTTGGATTGGTTGTAATATCCCCTAAAGTCTAGTATCAAATTTATATATAGATGCCACAATTGAAGTTTTTCAATTTTATCATTTACCGAGTAATTGACGTATTTTCCCCGTAAATTATTATTTAAAAAATAATGCTTTACTAGTAACTCAATTTAAATACTAGTATTAATCCCACAACTAGTCTCCCTCGTCTCCTCTGCCACTTCCGCCGCCCATTTCTTTATCCTCGGCCACGATCTCTTTCTCCTCCCTTGCCAATGCCTCTCCCCTCTCCTCCTTTCCCCTCGTCCCCCTTCATTTCCTCCCTCTCCTTCCCCTTGGTTCAGCCGCTTCCTTTCTCTTCCCTCTTCCATCTCCGAACTCTTCTAGCCTCGCTTTTTTCGAATGTCTAAACCACTTTCTCTCAGCTCCTTTCAACCATTTGTTTCCTCCCTCGTCGCTGCTCTCTTCCGCCTCACTCACGGCGCCTCTTACCAATTCCTTGCCTGTCGCTTCAGTTTTTCCTCCTTCGCTGGTACTTACCGTGCCTTCTACACCGTTTGCAACCTAGTCAACGATAATGTAGGCTATTCTCTCGATTTTCAAGCTGATATCAGCCACATTGTGGTGGTATTTGGGTGGATTTCACTTCCCAATTGTTGCGGCGTTTCGAGGTTGATGGGCAGCTGATGGGTTTAATTGCGTCTGTTTCAGTTCAGGCATTGGTGGACTCTGAAGGTAGATTTTTGGATATCTCAACTAGTTGGCCTTGTTTAAGAAAACCTTAATCAATTTTGCCTCAAACAAAGCTTTTCTCACGAGTAGAGGAATCAAGAGAGTTATTAATGGGCCTTGTTATAAGCTTAGTGATAGAAATTCAGTTCCTCAATACATATTGGACGATTCTTGTTTCCCTCTCTTGCCATGGCTTATAACCCCTTATTTGAGGTCCAATGAGGAAGGAAAGTTTGAATTCACCAGAGAAAGAGTTCAATGCGGTGCACAGTCAGGCAATGGGGTTGGTTGAGATGGCTTTTGGGAGAGTTAGAGCTAGGTGGCAGCTTCTTTCTAAGATGTGGAAAGAGAGATGTGTTGAATATTTGCCGTTTGTGATTGTGACCGGCTTTGTTGCATAATTTTTTAATATAGTGCAGCGGGTCATTGCTAGAAGAAAATGTGGCGGTCTCAAGGGAGGACGAAGAGGAACTGAGGCCTGTCTCTGAAGAAGAGGTGAATGAGATCCGGCGGGGGATCCGGGATGCCATTGCTCAGCATTTGAATCGGTGAGTTTGAGAAAATGAATGCCATAATTGTATGCTCGCCAAGTGATAGTTGTAGTTTATTATCACCCTGGTAAATTGTGTATGAATACGTCAAAGTTATATAGGAATTGCTTTTGAGCCAATTTGCTGGGGGAAATATGTTGATATCTTTGGATCCTAGACAGTTTATATACACATGGTGTAGAAATCTAACGTAGAATTACTAGTACAAAGATTATTCTTTTCAATGTTGCAAACTTGCCTACCCATAGCACAAAACTGCTAGTTAGAGATCAATTCCAGACAGGATTGTAAGGATTTTTCCCTTGTAAGCGTAGGATATGTTTTGCGTTGTGAACTCTATTGGCTCTTCAGTGGAGAAAGAACTAGGAGCTTGAGCAACAGCAGCGACATAACGGACATAATCTTGGGATATATCGTTCAGTGTTGTAATCTTCAGGCAATGGGGAATACTACCAGAAAGATTATTATGAGAAAGATCCATCAAGCTTAAGTGACTCAGATTGCATAACTGAACTGGAATCCCACCTTCGAAATGATTGTTATTTAGGAGAAGATAACTTAACTGAGAAAGCCTGCCAATCCAATTTGGAATGTTTCCAC